AGTTTCAGTATCCAAAACTGCATCGAATAGCATATATTTTATCGAAAAACATTTTCCCTCAATATTCGGCCGTACTCACCTTCAGCACCTTTTTACTCTATTTTGCTCTGTATCCCCTCATAGCTCGAACTTGCAGGGAAAATGTTTTTCGATAAAATATATGCTATTCGATGCAGTTTTGGATACTGAAACTCGAATAAATTAGTTTCAAAGATTTGCCATTATTTTAAATGGGTGAAATCTTGAAGTTTCTTTAAAAAATACTCAAAAATTCAGCTTTTGAGGGTGTTATTTGTATTTGAGTATTTCGACGATTGCTCAGCCAAAACTCGATCTAGAAACGTTTTAAAGATGATATTGGTGATTAGCTCGGCGAGCTCTATCCAACCATGTGAAAATATAACGGGTTTAAAATTTTTGCTCGACCTTTGCTCGGGAGCACTTTACTACGCATTGATGTGATTGGTTGGAAAATTTCTGCACGAAATCTTGATTTCAAAAATATACCATCGGAAAGAGCATCACTTGATGTATCGCCAGTAGAAAGATCTTTTTGTTCAATGCCTTTAGGTATACCTTTGGTCATCGCCAACGTCGAGGACGGTCAATCGGGCAGGTGATTGGGGTTTAGTGAATTGAGATTACGTCCGATCGACCTAGTTCTTTCGTAATTAGATAGATAACAGCGATTTACATATAGTATAGTCAATCAGACCATCCCAGACGTTTTTCAGATTCTGAGTGACTGATGGAACCTTTTTTTATAGTTTTCAAGAAGTAGTTTCATGCGAAACCTTTAAAATACCTTTTTTTAGAGTGAAAGTCGGCTTGTTCTCGTTGTGGTCGTAATGATGATGTTGGTGATAATCTTCTTAATCGTTGTTATGGTCATCATACTAATTGTGGTGGTTATGAGTATCGTTATTTTTGTAAGACTTGTTTATATAATACTCATTGATGGTAGTGCTGGTCGGTTAATAACGGGTGAAGTGTTCTCGTTTGAAATATATAGAAATGCTGTGCACATCAAAATCAATATGTTTGACAACTAGAGCTACTCACTCATTTTTTCTGTGGGTATCTCATCATCATCTGATAGATCTCGATCCGATCTATCGATTGACATATAATTCGAAGTAGATCCACATGTTTCAGATAATTAAAAGCCCTCTAGCATCATTATAACATATATATATATAGCCTATTGTGTATGACCTTATTATCATTGTTTTGACCACTGGATCCCCTTACGCACTTTTTTCTTTAGATATTTTATCATCGTTTCATAGATCTTCTCGAGGGTGAGTATGAAATGATAACTACCACAAACGCGATTTCCCGCTTATTAAAGATCTTATCAAGTAGTATAAACATCTGCAATAAAAAATAAAAAATTCGAAGAAAACTGAAAATAAATTCTAGGTTGAGTGCCCATCTATCGATTGAGTGACGAGCCGGGTTGCATGATTGGTTTTTAGTGAAACGGAAAGTATCTGAGAACACAGTTTGCTGGAATTAATGGGTGCGCCAGGTGAAATGGACCTCTCAGTATTTTAGCAATATCTTTTTTAATTTTCATCCGATTGGACTAATTTCTTTTTAAAAACGCGCCGTCTCAAGCTCTACAAATCTATCGATTTGATATCTAGATTGATAGTACATACAAATTTTCGGAAAATGAAAAAGTAAAGACCTTCAAAAGATTGTACTTTCAAAGCACTAAAATGGTGATACTCCAACAGAAATCTATCGTGAGTTAAATGGTGGTATTGGTTTATCGACAATCAGAAAGTGGTGCCAGATGATTCGTCGATCTGGATCTATCCAACTACCAGGTACACATGATGGTCCACGTATAGTCAGGACCAAAGAGAATATTCAAAAAGTGAAAAACCGTTTACGCTAAATAAAAGGAGTATCAGCCCGGAAACTATCGATGAAGCCTATCTGGTATTTCTGCAACAAGTGTCAGGCGAATATTAAAAATCGATTCGGGGCTAAAACCCTATAAAAAGGTAACCGAACCATCACTTTCCGATGATTAAAAGATGAAACGGAAACAGTTTGCAAACTGGGTTCGAATAAACTTTCGGAAGAAAGAAACCTTGAAAAGTCTCTCTTCTGACGAGAAGTTCTTTGACATCGCTGGTGTCTATAACGTTCAAAATCATCGAATGTGGGCAGTAAATCGTGCTGATGCTGATGAATATCTTTCGCCTACTCCCTCAGTTTGTGCATTGTCTACTGTATGAATATCAATAAAGCTGACTGACTGAATTAAAGCTGAATCTAACAAAAATTTGAGAATGAAATTTGAGCAGGGGGTAGCGAGCGGGTGAGAACGAGTTCAAAGACGAGAACGAGTGAATGCAACAGCGAGAACACTGACACTGGAAGACAACAAGACTCAATCGTTCCATCATTTCCTTACTTTAGAGTTGATTTGTTCAAATATAATCTGCGTCTTTCTTCAAAGACATTACCGTTTTTTTACTGCAAACCAGCTCCTTCCTCGACCACCACCAACACTACCACACTCAAGACAGCAATGATGGAGCTCGAAGTACAGATCTTCTTGTATCAAGACCTTCCGCCTACTCCCTCAGTCTTGTGCCTTGCCTGCTGTATCAAGACCTGTAACAAGACCTACTTTCTCAACTAATGCATTGTCTGCTTGCTGTTGTATCAATCAATAAAGGTATCACGAAATTGAATGACTGAATCTACAAAATCCATCAACAGAAGAAAAAGAAGAAGAAGGGAATAGCGAGCCGGCCGAAGGCCGAGAATAGTGACACCAAGTGAAAACACTGATGGCTAGTCAACAGTGCGTGACTGGCAATGGCAAGACTCACTTGATCAAGCCGTTATGAAGTTACAATGAAGTCTAATTTTGATACTCACCAACAGGTGCACACTTCACTGAGGTAGTAAGCAAGAAGAATGACCCCTAATGTTCCGGGCCTTTATCGGGGTGCATGTGTTGGCATTGAAATCGATAAGATTACGTCTACATCGGTGCATATTCATCTTTTTTTTATGGTCCCTATTGGTTTTTGATTTGTGTATCTGAGGGTTTGGTGAATTTTGTATTTATTGTTCGTTTTTATGGTATTGTGCACTATTTGTTCTTTGTTTGGGTATCAAATATTTGTACTCCGCGTCTAGCCGTTGTTCATGTAATATTTGCGTTGGTCTTTTTAACTTGAATTAACACGAAACAGTGGTGAACCGCATTAGAAGAGGACAGACAATGAAGAGCATTACAACTGTTCTCTTAATTGACCTATAGACATTAGGTTGTCAGTTTAGTATCAAGAGGGTTCCTGCATATCTTGAATAAATATACAGATCAGTGATATCGAACGTACAGAGAAGAGTGGATGGTTTAACCCTGATCCGTCAACCTATAAAAGGTTAAAATTCTGTCAGTTTCTCACGATTGTTCTCTGGATGTAATGATTGCATCTTTTCGCATCAGTGTATATTATACTGAAGAACAACAGTGTGTACTATCAATGTGAACTGATTTCGATTACTCATTGTTTGTCTAAGAAAGAAAGCGGAACATATCTTCGAAGCACTTGTTTTCATCTGGGGTCTGTACGGACCCCAGGTTGATGGATCAGGGTTAAGACGACCTTCTTTGGAATATTTTTCAAGGCGATATATCAAATCAACACCATCGATAATTGTTGCTGAACGAATTTTTTCTTCGAATATTGGTCGAATAAGTTCATCCAACAAACGTGAATTGCTGGTAGTCGGAGCACGAATAGAAGCGATGATTGGTCGCAGTGGTATACCTTCCTATCAGCAAACAATTAGAAATTATATGAAAATACAGACACGAGGCGATTTTAATTACCTAATGTGCTTTCGGGAGGAAGTACATGTGTGCTAATTTTGTTTTTTGTTGATCAGGTAGCATCTTTTTGAGTTGCCATTCATGAATGAATTGGTTCCGACGAAGATCTTTCAGGAAATGGACAACCTTGTGAAAAGTCTCCTTCAGTGGATTGGATGGAAGTTCGATATAGCCAGTGTCCATTCGGTAAGCTTGAACTTTTCGTTCGAAATCGATGACTTGATCAATATAACAGACGCCACTCTTATCAGTAACACGTAGAACAAGGTTGACTTTTTTCAATTCCCGTCGAATGGCTTTGATCAGTTTTAATTCCTTTCGGGCACGCAACTGATCCTTGAAAAATGATGGTGCCATGTAGCGACGATTGAGAAAAGCTTTGAGGCCATGTGAGAATTGTCTCAAAATAGGTAGCAATCTGTCCATATTATGATAACGAGTGATATTGAACAGAATTTTTTCCATAATAATGTCATGTTCTCCTTGAATGGGTCATTCGAGTTTAATGACCATAACTCTTCATCGAAAGCTTCAAAAGCCCTAATATTTTGGCTATGAGATATCAACACTAGAAGCTTCAAAGCCATGCGGAAACAACCAAAATCCAAAGACCCCGGGCGGATGACCTCATTACGTTTTGGGCGGTTTTACCGTGGACCCGCTCTTACAACAGATTAGCTACGTCATATTAATATCAATGCCGCAAATGGAGCTTTACTACAAATAACCTGTCTCTTTTCTTTGTCGGAAATTTCAACAAAGAAGGATTAAACATTTAACTTAAACTACTACGGAACGGCTGTTCAACAGCATTTGTTACTACGTAGTTATTCCAGACGCTTTTTCAAAAAGTATAATGCGATGTCGGTATTATATCGGTTGAATGCGGAAGTTTATCAACAGCTATATCGACAATCACTTGCTCGACTAACTCGACCAGAGAAACAATGAGATAAAGAATACAGAGAAAATTTTTGAATTAGGTTATTTTTGAAATCGCTAATAAATATTTCTTTTCCTTTATCGTCAGCAAACATAGCCATCGGTGAATCTAATTGATTCGCTGTAGAATCTGAACCTTCACTACCAGCAATGACGCGAATTTCAGATCCAAACAGTTTCAAAATACGTGAATTGCAGAAGTCAGCCACATATATATCATTGCTGTTGTTCGTAACAAAAATGTCAAACGGATAATGAAACTGATCTAGTCGACTACCTTCGCCACCACCATCGAGAACCGTCGATACGGAAAAATAAACACAGTGTTCTGACAGAGGCAGCTAGCGATGATGATGGAATTGATTCTTTTTGATCTGCAAGCAAGAAAACAGATTAACATAATGTCGTCAGTAGAGTTGGAGTTGGAGTTGAGTTTTTAGTAGGTTGGAGTTGGGTTTTTGAATTTTTATTCTCAACTTCGTTTTGTATTTTTGGAAATATTCAATAGTTGTAAACTGATCTTCTAAACGATTGAGTGGCTGTATTCACGAGTGAATTCGGAAGTTGCGCTTTCCTGCTAGGAAAAGCTCAAAAACGTCCAGAATCCTGCTAAGAACCTAAGAAGTACAAGTGACAAAACACAGTGACACAATTCTTAGATGTAAAATTGACTCTCGACACTCCAGTTCTACTTAGTATTACTGTTCGATCGAATATGAACTGGGTGATGATGACGAAGAAGAAAGTAGTTCAGAAAGTGACGATTCGTCTGATGAGGACGACGATGATGATGAATATACATTAGTGACTCGGTTTTATGAAAAACTATCTAAATCATGGTACTGTCAATGTCCGACCGGTGAAAGGAGCTGTGGGTGTTGTGCTCACATAGCTTGTGTACTGTGGTATCTCTGTTATGCAAGACATCATCAGTTTACGCCGTCGAAATACCCAGAACGTTATCGTCAAACGCTAGTTAACATGGAAACTGACTGATTTTGATAAAAAAACTTGTGCGTCAATGCAAAACACGTTCACTTCTATACTTTTAAATGTAAAATGAGCTGTTTTTTTGATTTAATAAAGTTAGTCGTTGAAAGATTAGTGTAAAAGTGCAAAGTCTAATGCAGTTAGATATTTATGGTTTTTTTCCTCGAAAATGCAGATGACATATCTTCAGGAAACTTCGCCTTATCGTTAAAATGTGTTTTTAACATGTGAGAGATGAAATTGAGTGAAAATGGGCGTGAGTATTTGAACTTCGTTAAAAGGCCATTTTGTTGCGCAAGTGATGAGCATGTTTTGTGCCAAAAATCTTTTTGAAACAACACAAGCTTAACAAACGCGAGCTAAATTACTCAAAGCAGTTTTTTGGACAAAACCGTACTCTTTAGAGAAAGTTCACTTGCGTTTCGTCTAGAAGAGAAATTGGCTGGTCTTCACATAGTGTTTCTGAAAGAGCATTGAAAGCTGAACAAAGTAATATGTGAACGAGCCCTACATAACATTTCTATAAAATTTTATAGGACCCATCATTTAGACAGGTAGTATTTCAACTGAGAAAAGTTGTTAGCCTAGGTTTGTTAATAAGGAGGGGTCTGAAAAATTCTGAGACGACAGAAAACTGAGACGACGCCTTCCATTCTTCTACAAAACTGTAGAATATCAGCTCAAACGGAGTTGTTTTTCTTAAACGGCGGGATCCTTTGTTTTTCAATTTTTCAAAGAACGAAAAAAATCATTTTTTTAAAAACTGAAGGGCAAATTTTGAATTCTTGTGAGCTGAAAAACAGAATTTGAGTTTTCTATTTGAGACCAATGAAGAACAAAATTCCCATATACTTTTCAGTTCTTTGAAAAACAGAAGAACACATTTTTTGTAGAGTGTAGATAGAAACGGACAAAAAGATGTTCTAAAATGTCTTCAGTTGCTTTCGTCGGAATAATGACTATGTGAATAGAATTTGTTCGGATCTCAAAGGTGAATCTCCTATTGAATTACTTAAAGGAATCAATGAACAGCATGAAGAAATACAAATTGAATTTTTGAGATGGGTAAGTTCAATCTGATTACTAATAATGGAAAGTATCCTTCTTTTCGAACATGCTACAAACAGTTGCTCGAGTACGGTCAGCCGCTATCTCTGGGCGGCACTCCCTCTGCAAACAGATTCTGTTGACATCTACCTCTTCATTTGCCGCTTTCTACTTGGATGATCGGTTAGTTATTTTAAAATTTCGGCAATAAGATCTAAGCTGCACTTACTGTCGTCTTTCTCTAGGCAGCTCGATTAGTTCGGATATATAACCAACAAACAAATATCTATTCTAATAATTTTTCTATACTATTATTCTAGTTTTCGGTGATGACCTCAACTCAAGCTGGTCGTCTTTCATTAATTGGTGTTGAAGACGATTTAGTATCAACTTTTACTGATTATATTCTAAATGAAACATATTCGAAATCAGTTAAATACGAAATTATTGTTTTGTTATACAATCTATTGTATATTGATTCAAATACTCGAGTACGAATCTTTACTCGTTATCTTCAACGCTGCTTAGCACTCACTAATCTCAGTTTTCCTTAGTTAGCTTAGTTTTATGAATACAATTTCACTTGCCTCAGCAATTGTACAGTTATGAAAGGGAAAGTGTCAGTGCAGAAGCTGAAACTTTTCTCTCTGTCATATTAGCACTTGGTGAAGCGGAGAAGGATGTAAGTTTGCTCTTGTTAGATTTTAATTTCCCTCACAGCTTCATCCATCTTTTTAGATATTTGATATTGCTCATGCCACGGAGTTCAACATCGATGCTTACTCTTCCATTTCATCTTTCAAAGAACTAATAGAGACGATTAAGTCACATCTAAACTTACGTCGCCGAATCTGGTACAGGAGTCATTTCTCATCAGAGTAAAAGAAACTCGAGTTCAAAAGATGGAATTTTGGCTTCGTTATGCGACGTTTTTCATGAGCTCCGAAAACTACGGATTCAAATAGCTGAATTTTCGAAAGTCTCAAAGAGGAAGAAATCGATGCAAGTTGAAAAGCATTTGCTCACTTAATACTGGTTGATAGATAGATAGAGCTTTTCAAGGACTATAAAATGCGTATATTCTCTTCTTCTTATCTCACCCAGCTCAATGACAGTCGTTGGACAAAGTGAGTTCTCAGCTTAGAAAGTTGGTCCGTTTCTATGTGTTGGGTATTCTATGTTTAGTTTTCTCGTTAACTCAAAAACGTTAACTCGCTAGGTCAATCAAGTTTTGTAGAGAGTTTGACGGCGCATCTTTTGAAAAAACAACCAGGTCTCGGGGTTGAAAAGAAAAAAAGTTATAGTCAAAATACTGAGAGGGCCATTATTTACGGGCCACGAATTACTTTTAACCACAGTTAAGTACGAGAGATGGAAGAAGGTACAAAGTTTGTCTCGAGATCGTTTTAGCTATGAAAAAGTTATACTGCCATATGACTGAATATGTCCTTTCGTTTTTTATTCACTTTAGTCCTTTTAGTCTTTTACTACTGTTGATTTTCTCCTCATTTTACTACTTTTAGTTATAAAGTGAGGATGAGGGTGATAGTTGTAATATGCCTGAAATAGAAAAGTAAAGGAAGTAAAAGACTAAAAGTAAAGGGAGTAAAGGAGTGGCAGATATAAAAGTACGAAAATATAATAACAATAATAAGCTAAAATGAGAGCTGTAGCCTTGTATGTAAGCTAAAAACATCTCGCGGACAAACCTTGTCCCATCTCCCAACCATCAGAGAAAGATAATTTTTGTATGACTAAAAAAATATTCTATATGCATTATAAACATATTTAATCGAACAACTGTTTTTTTCTTATTTACAAAAATAATTGTATCAAAAATAAATAAATTCTGTTTATTTAGACTCTCTGTCTGACTGAAAAACAATTAACACTACACACATTAGTAATTTAACAAATAAAAATTGAAGAAAAAAAATCCACAGTTATGATTATAAGTTAATTTCTATCTTATCAGTTTCTGTTACCATTCGAACATTTGGATAAACACTATGTAAAACAGTAACAATTTCTCCACAATAATATGTTGTTGATAATACTAATGTTTTGAGATTCTTGCATTGTTGAATAAAATGACGAAATTTATCAGAAAATAACGATGATGGTATCAATGTTAACCCTAAATTTTCGGACGATAATTGAAAGTTTAAATATGACACATTTAGTTTAGATTCAGCTGATAAAACAAAAAATTTTATCATATCATCAATTTTAAATTTATTCGAGGATAAATTAAGACGCTCAAGTGATTTCAATTTAACGATTGCTCTGAAAAGGAACACGTTCAACAGAAATTAATCCTAAATAAGAAAAAAAGAGCTTACTCAAATAATTCATCGCCGGTAAGATCATTATTTGATAAATCCAAGTCACTCAAATTCATCTAAAATAAATTTTGTTAGGAGTCTGACAATGCCAGATATCAGTCTTATTTCTCTATAGCTGACAAGTTTTTGTTAGATTGGTTTTTATTTACCAGTGACTTTTGATCGCATAATACTTTAACTGCGCTACTGGTCAATTTGTTTTTTGACAGAGACAAAGATTTCAAATTATCTAGTGATAATTGTCCTAATTGTTCTAGTACTCTATCATCCAAATTGTTATCTAAAATGACACAAGTTCAAGCTAAATGATTATCATAATATCTTGTTTATAATTTAAATACCAGATAGATTAATTAAATGAATAAACTTGAAATTTTCCAATGCAGTGAGTGCAAAAATGGCCTGATTTAATCTTAAACTCATACGTGATAAGCATAATTCGTACTTGTTAAAAAAGTTATTTAATGATGATTTGATATTTGAATAGGCAGCTAATAGAAAATTCATAGTTGAATAAAATGCTTTCATTTTCAGTTACTAAAACTCGACATACCAACATTGTTTGCTTTGCATGTTTGTTCGTACCAATTTGCTGGATTCTTTTCTGTGTATATCGCTTTAATCTAAACAAGCAAATAACTGTTTGTTAGTTTAAAATTCATTTTCTTACAAAAACTATACATCTGTATCATTTGAACTGAATGCATCTTGAATTATATCATCATCATACAAATCCCAACCTTTCTGATCATACAATGTTACATTACATGCTTGAATATGCCATTGATCGTATAATCTTTTCAAAACTTGATATGACAAATCTCTAATTGTAGCAGATGGTAATCTATAAATCACAAATAGAGCATAGTTTGAAGTTTGTAAACCACTGGATACTTACATTGGTATTCGAATTTTTCTGTCTTCCTCCTTTCTGTCGATTTTATTCGCTAGACAACGTATTATCCAAGATGATGAATTCTTCGTATTAGATGTGAATGGTGATGGTAAAATATTTGAGGGCATTACGACTGGCATATAAACAACATTACTATTCTTTTCTTCAGTAGATGATGATAAAATACTAATTGTTGATGGTGTTCGATATACGGCTAATGATTTATGTTCTTGTTCTAACTGAAATACAGGCGAACGCGGTGGTTTTATTTCTTCTTTCAAGTGTTGTTCATATTGTACTTCGTTATCAAAATCATTAAACAGAGTGTCTGTTTCGTCAATCTTTTGTCGTTTATGAATATGATCGGATGATCGACGGTTCGATATAGGTTTTGTTGGAGAAGGTGATTCTGACTGTCTCGTTGTGAAAGTTAATGATCTTTTTCGTTCCTCACATCTTTTTTTCCGTTTTGTTGTTCGATTAGGTGAACATGATGATGATGAAGAGGACGGAGACGATGAACGATGAATGATAATTGGCACGGAGTCAGGAACGGCCCAATCTTTATCTCTGATATTATATTCTTTCTCGCTAATTAATGGTGTCCTAGAAATTGCTTGTATTGAATGCTGTTGAACAGAAAAAGATAATAACAAAAGATTTTATAAAAAATGACAGAAATATTAAAATAAAATGATTGGAGAAATATTTGCAGAAAAGTTATTCGATACTTCATTAATATAAATGATAGATGATCAGACGATTCTTAAGCACGGGTCGAGATGACAAAAGCTCTCTGTCCCTACACAGTTTTACTACATTACGCTTTTGATAAGAGCAGTTCTCCAAATGCTCTTTCTGGATTATTAAACCTCGGATATTCTGTTACTTTAACAAATCAATGGTCAAACAACAAATAACTTATCGAGAAGTTAAACATCGTAATAAACATCAAACAGCGTATACTTTTGTTTTTGGAATAATAACACCAATATCATCATTTGTCTTGATTCCACGTCGAACATTATCCATAACAGATTTGAAACTCTGTTTATGAGGTATTCTTGGTGGTGAGTCCTTATCATAGATATCACCATCATCCTGCGTTTCTTCTGATCTATCCGATCTAGAAAAATAATCATTGAAAAGCTACTGTTTTCTTTTGGAAACTAATCTTACGTGGGTCGTCTATCAAAGGACACAGTATTCTCCACTATCTTTTTGATTGTATAGTTTGGCTCTTTTTCTACAACAATAACAAACATTAATCATAATAGCTGAATTATAATATTCAATCGTATATTCAAACTTTTTATCAACTCCAGCATTTTGTTCTTCGTCTTTTCAAATTGTTCGGGATCAATTGATTCATATTTTTCTTGATAATCATTAAGATCATCTAATGCTGTGTAATTCTACAAAGATAATCATCTTAATTAAAACAATTTACACTTTTAAATGTTTATACATACACCTAATCTTTTCTTTTCTGGTTTGGCACCATGTTCAAGTAAAAGTTCAATCACTGGTATATGACCATTTTCACATGCATCATGTAATGGTGTCAAGCAATCTTCATTTATCACGTTTACACTAGCATTTGAATTCAATAAATATCTAACAATATCCACGTGTCCAAAATTGCATGCTTCATGAAGAGGATACCAACCACAATTATCTTGACAATTGACAGGATGCTAAAACGAAACAATAAAAATTGTCATAATTCTCTCCAAACAGAAACATATCAAAAAGCGAACAAGATGTTCTAATCTTGTCCACCCAGTTGACATATTGATTTACGAGTTACTCGATGCTATCACCTTTTGCAATAGGACGGTTTTAATCATAAAATATGTATTTCTAAATTTACCCCATCATTAACAAGTTGTACAACTTTCTCATAATTTCCATTTTGACAAGCAACATGTAGGGGATATTCACCTTTTCGATTCACAGGTTTGAATATTTTCTAAAACGTACAAATCGACTAACCATACAGAATCTCTGGAAAAAAAAATATAAACATACCGATTTTTGTGTTGATAAGCTAACTCGTTTTGATACAATTATGGTTTCTTCTTCATCCTCATCAATTAGATCATTCATTAGTGAATTCAAAATTGTTTCATCGTCTTCATCATCAGTTGTCACTGGCTGTGAGTCTTCATTATCACTTTCCGGCTGATCTGAACATCCGTTGCTGATATATTCAAAATCAGAACAGTTGTCCTCATTAATTGGTGGATCTAATTTTTTAATAAAATTGTTTATTTGTTTATCGTATTGTAAGGAAGGGTCTCGTTTTTGTAATCGAATCAATAATGCCATTGTTTCACGCTAAATGGGATAAAAATAAGAGGCCAAGTCTCCGAAATAAAAAGTAATTCCAAAGCATTTACAATTAGCGATTTGCTTTTTGACGATTTAGCTATTTCAAATGCTCGTTCGATTGTCTCCAAACGTTCAGTTAAACTAATCTTTAATCGATATTCACATTTGATTATTTCAACTAGCGCATCGCATATCTAAAGTGAAAAATTAGTCAAATTAACTTTTTACGTAATAAATCAAAAGATTATTTGAATAATTCTTGAACATTACATTTTAAGCTATGAATAAATTGAGCCAAAACAAAATTCATTTCACAAATGAGAGTTTTGTATTTTTTGAGTACAAAGAATATCTGTGATTATTAGAGAAAGATTTAAATTTTAGATTTTTGATATATAAGATAAGATATAAGTTTTTAAATATATAAGATTTTTATTTTAATATACGTACTTTAGTTTCCGATTGTGGTATTGTAACTAGATAGCTTAATTCTCGACGAAAATAATCCATTGCATTTTGCCATTCATGAAGTTTCATACATGACAATCCTAGAGATGAATAAATTGTAGCCATTTGTTTTTCATTTAAATCTACTTCTTGCGCATGTTTTAACTAAAATAAAGTTATGATTGATAAAAAACATACGTATTCTTTACAACAATAAATTGCTGCAGAATAATTCTATCTGTGTGAGATTTAGTAGTTGTTCGCAATTTGTTTAAGGATGGTATTATCGTTGCCTACTTGTTTTGAATAATAATCTTTTGCTAATTCATATTTTTTCAAATCTGAATATATATCGCCGATTTTTTCTGCTAAACGCAATTTTTTCTTTATATCTGTTTCACTTTTATACGTATCTATTATACCATTTAAAAGTCTTTGTACTAAAAATGATAAAAAAGATAAAGAAAAGAGTATTTCTGATTTTTTTGTCTTTTCTTACCACAAGCTAATTGATGTTGCATATTTTCTTTGACTAAAGCACTTATTGTCGACGGTTTATAAACTTTTAAGAAATAATCTTTCGCAGCTGCATAATCGTCAAATAGAATTAATAACTTAAGAAGAGAAAAGATTTCAAAGAATATGATTTACGAAGGAGCAAAGACGAATCTTACATTTGCTGCGTCAATTAACGTTGTACCATAAAGAACATAATCTTCTAAACGTTTATAATAATCAAGAGCCTGTTCTAATGCATAAACAATTTCTACTTTTTTTTGTAAAAAATTTGAATACGTCTGATAATATGATGCAAGAGCGAAATATAAACGACCTAGTTCACGTTTCATTTCAAACTTTCTAAACAAAATTAAAAGTAAACAATCGAATTAGAAGTTCTTCATGCTAATCAGTGTTAGTTAAACGCAACTGCAAATGTTTTTATTTAATCATTGTACAAAAAGCAAATGAAAGTCTAAATGTAAAACTCACTTTGCCAATGTAAGAGCATCGTTAACGAGTTTTCGTATTTTATGCAAACTTGATGATGAATTATCAGTTGAATACTTTTCGTTGATCGCATTTGCTAAAACATCAGAAAGTCTAAACAAAACGATATTTTCTCGTGATCTTAGTTTTCTTTTGCTTCTTACCCCAGTTATAGGGGACTCTCGCTCTTTGTGCTGTGTGTGTTTATTGTACATACCCATATTGATATAAGTACGAACACGTCTAAGTGCTAAATCTTTTTCATAATCTTTATCGCTCATAAATTCATTGTTTCTTCTCTTCGATTTCAGGCCCATTTTTTTCTTTTCTTCTACATGTAATTTATCTAATTTTTCAATTGTCAATAAACTGTTGTAGGCAGCATCATATGAACGATTAAAAGTCTCTTGTAAAAGTTTTTCATCATCACATAGAATATCTTCTTGCATGTATTCATACCAACGAAGATAAAGTACAGCTAGAGATGTAAATGCTCGTTCTGTTTCATCATCATTTGCTTGTTCTTGTGCACACTTCAAATATTCTTTGAACGAAGATTCAGCTAATCGAAATTTATTCTTTTCAACATAACAATCACCAATTCGTCGCAATGATAGGAGAATATCATCTTCCAAATTATTATCCTGAGCAGTTTTTAACTCGTATTCAAATTGTTCTAGTGCCTCATCGTGTTTTCCTTGACACAAAAATAATAACTGTAAATTATCATAGACTATGCAACTGATTCTTATGCATACCTTGCTGAAAATACTCCATACCAAGCTCATCAATAGCATCAGTTAAGTTTTGTGGATCAATTTTTAATGTATTTTTTGCTTTATTTACTCTTCTCTCCAGTTCTTAAAGAAAACAAAAACCGAATCTTAGCTAGAATTGATTTTATCAGCATCAACTTACGTTTGAGTTTTTTATCATCTATAGAATCCATTGTTTGATAAACGATAACTGGAACAATATGAAAAAAGTGATAAAGTTTTTGCTTTACTCAAAACGTGTCCAGATTTCTCTCCAGAAATTCTATTTACGACCTTTCATTAGCGAACGAAACTGCACGCTACTTATGTTAAGCTTCTCGTACACAATTTTAGTAAGCAAGATTAGTACTATACTAGGATTGCCGCTTCAGTAAAAAAGTAAGATACTATCAATTCATAACTAGCAAATTTAGATCTTTATTTGTAAAAAGTAAATTAATTGTTGAATTAAAAAAATTTGAAATATCTATATTGACATATGTATGAATCCATAGTTCACAATTATCATCCAATAATTTCCCTGTTACAAAAAATAATGAATAAAAATGACATACAAAAGAAGCGCAATGATATACAAATTCAGACACTGATTGATGTATTGCTCTATGCAGGCTAAGCGGCTGTTTTCTTAGAATAAAGTACTAAAAGTTACCTAGCGTCATCTACTTTGATCAGACATCTCAGCGACAATAGCTAGCTCATTTACTCCTTTTTAAACGACATATCAAAATTAGTCAGATTCAACACTGACAGGAAGAAACTATTTTAGAAAATCGTTGTATGTATGATCAACAAGATTTTCGAAGTTATTGAGCATTTTCGTTAAACTTGATCAAAAACAGAAATTATCCAGGTAAGGTAAAACAATGAGAAAAATAAATTGTACATTCTCAATCGAAATACGCGATTATTATTCTCGGCGTTAACAAAATCTTGTCCTTAAAGATCTTATGCATTTTAAAAAAACTGAAAATATCAACAGTAAAACAAATATTTTCCTTTTTTTAATATTTTCGACTCACTGCACATGATACTGAAATCTTAAAGCAAACAAAGTTCAGTTTCGAAAATGCTTTTCTACAAAAATATAACACTTAAATTCTCTACGAAACCATATATATTGTATTATAAAATGTCCTTTTGATCAAATTTAAAATAGCGGCCTCCATGCAAAAAACGTTTTTTATCAGCATTACATGGGTACATATCAATGCCGTGCTTTGAACCAGTACGACACCTTTTTGGGCATCGGAAAAGATTTCAATGTTGCATTGATAAAAACCATGGCGGCATCGATGAGGATCGACAAGATTCAGCGCCTGCTGGACACCGGTACCATGCGCGACTAGAAAAAAAATGTTTTATTTGCCAAAATCTCTGTTTGTTTGTTTAGAAAATTCATACTATAGATCTTATAGGTCAGAGAGGGGCAGACATAAAATAATTTTCTTCTCGTAACTCTATGTGTGATAGTCTCAAAAATTCATTATCAGGCAATCTTAGTTATATTCGTTTTTTGTCATAGTGCATGTGCTTTCGACTAGACGAACAAATATTTTTAAAAAACAAAGGTTGTTGTTAACTTGATTTATGTTCTCGTCAGCTAATGGTGAAGAACAGACAGAATGACTAACTGTACAGTCTAGCTGAACTTTGGAATGTAAATATATCTCTCTTCTTGAATATTCTGAAGATCATCTATAAAAACCAACAATTTTCCTTTTTCAAACCATATTTTGTCAAGCTGAAAGTATTGATCATATATTCATCTTGACTCAAAAATGTTTCGTTTGTACACTTTTCTTCTCTGCGTTCTAATATCACAAGCACGTTTTATTCGTTTTTATGACGATTTTGGTGAAGTGTTTCGCAATATACCAGATGAAAATCGTCTCACATTTAACAGTCGTGAATGGTCATTGATTAATGGTGATTCAATTTCAATTTTAAATGTCGAAAATCTCGAACGTGATTTTGTTTACCACACATTTCCCAATTTTGATGTTGAAGGTACACGTTATCTATATCGTCGTCATATAAAACAAGATGAACCTGTGGAAATTGAATTGGTACGTGCTGCCGATCGTCTGTTTCGTTATGTTAGCCAACCAACTCGTTATTTTTATTTACCATCATTTGATAACGCATTATTAGAATATTTGGAACACCCACCGAGAGCACCGTTTTACGAAGTCAAGTTTACATATAATCAAACATTAAATAAATATGAATTATCACATGATGCAAATCTTCAATTATTATTTAAAACATCACCAATTTTGACATATATTGATAAATCATTTTCATGGGCACCAAGATATACACTTGACATGTATAGTTTTGACAATGGAAGATTTATGGCATGGGCAAATTTGGTGAACAATGGTGAAAAAAATGTTAGAATGGAACGAGCAGAACTGAATGCTGGTAAATAAAAAAACAACATTCGTTTTCGGGACTTAAAAGACACACACTCTTACTCTCCTTATTGAAAATGATACTTGCAGCTTTCTCTATTATGACATGTTATTAATGTGTCTTTTCTGTTTTAGGTGATATCAAATTGTTGAATAGAGTATCTGTAGATAGCTCGCGTTCTGGAATGATGGCGATGGCGTTCGCTAGCCCTATCAAAAGCGATCCAATTGTTGTTCAAGAAAGTGGCGAACTATATGGTACATACGTCTACAATATTAATCAACCGATTCAACTGGAACCAAAATGTACAGTATCAGTACCATTTATCAAACCACAAGTACAAATTAAACGTTTTGCACTTTATTCAACATCATTTACAACTGTAAATTCTAAAGACAAATTATGCAAATGTTATCGATTGAAAAGTGATAAGTTTATTCCTAAAGGAGTTTTATCTATTCGTGAACAAGGTCGTATTGTGGGTGAAGTAGCAGTGCCAGATATCAGCGCAGGAGAAGAATATGATGTTGAATTAGGGAAAGATGCTGACATTGGATTTTATCGTCAAATTAGCATTGAATCAGCATCAAAAGAACAAACAGTGTACAAAGTTGAAGTAACACTTGAGAATAAAAAATCACATGATATTTTCGTGAAATTTCAAGAAAAACTTTTTGGTAAATATTCAGTGGATAAAATATCAACAACATTATTACAACAGGCATTAAATACAGATTTGATTTTGAAAGGAAATGAATTGACTGGAAAATTCCTATTAGATCAAAATACGAAGAAAGTAATAAGATTTGAAGTAACAATTCAACATGAAACAAGTGGTTACAAACCGTATTAGAAAAACACTCCTTTTCATTCTTTTTTTATCTTCGCATTTGACTGTATACAGTAACTGAAAGTTATACATATATTTTTTTTCTATTATTTTATTCTAAATAACCAAATACATAAATAAACATACGGAAATTTGGAAGGTCAGAACGAATGTTTGCTCAAAAAGCATAACCAGGTGCGATTCATTCGATGTTTTAGCTTCACCTAAGAGATTCACAAATTATTCCAGCTTTGAAAGGAGAATAGCCAAGAAAATCATTTTTCCACGTGTGCTTGTGAGCACCAATGCCGAATATTTCTTTTTCCTGAGGACTGGTACGAGTTTTTGATGTTCTTTCTGGCATCTGTGCACACCGGTGTCCTACTAGTGATGAAAAAATCTTTTTAGTAGATCGAAAAAGCGTTAGTATTGGTAATATAACTATTGGTAATACTAATCGAAAAAGCCGAGAAAATGATAAACACTCGACCAAATATTTTTCTTTTGCCTTATCAGCACGGGTGTGCACCAGTACCATCCAAAAAGTTCGCTTCGCACAGTACGCCTCAGTACCAAAATTTTGTTTTTAATCACCGCTGTGTTTTGCCAACTTCTGGCGATATAAAAACACCACAGTATACTTTTGATATTTTGAATGTCTTTCTGACTTCATATTTTCCTTCTCATACGAGAAGTGCCGATACAGTGCCGCATTATTTGGGCATGACAATGTGGTACTGATGCCAGTCAGTGCCGCACTCTAATTAATACAAAATTACTGAAAGCAATGATAACAAAAAAAAACTAATTAGTGATTAAATAAATTCCAGTGCCTCACTTTTCCAGAAGATATATATATATCGGCACTCCTTGGTACCAGTGTAAGCCGTGCACTTTTTTTCTGGTGCAGCACTAAAATATTTTTTATAGGGTAGTGTGTATGTGCTATACGGGCAATATCTCCCTCAATTGGGATAATAAACTGCATGTATGTATTTTCGCTCAAACTCCCATCTCTCAAAAACGTCAGGATGCTCAAATGGATATGAAATTGATATAATAAGCATCGCACTTAGTAAAATTATGTTGATGGGGGTTTTAACGAATCAGAGCTCTTGTTGGATCACATTTTCTTTGTTTATCGATGTATATTATTCTGATTCATTTTGAATTTTCTTTAATTAGAAAGATCACCATTACACCGGGATAAAACGTTAGTATTCATGAGTACTCATATGCGTGATCACATGATACGTATACTGTGCTCTGAGGGACACGTTATTTTTTGAAGAAGAGAAAGAGAGAGAGAGCGTATAAGACAGAACACACGTGAAAACACAAGAAAAAAATGTTTCTCTTTTCTCTTCTAAATCAAATACATATAGAATCTACTCGAACCTCTTTGTTTCGCTTTCTCTTCCATGATTCATCCTGTGACTCGCATGTGTCTAACAGGACGACACATATGAAAAATCTCGTTTTACACTGTAGATGTCAAACAATTTCTAGTTCCTCCTTTTCTCTTTTTTTTTTCGTACTATATAAAGAGATGTAGAACACTTATTCTTCATTACAATCTCGAAAATCGTACGCTATTGTTAACGTTCGCTTTTTGCACTTTCAAAATAATTTTAAACTTACACACGTCTAACTTATTCGACTTAATTGATTCTAAACAAGTAGGTTAGCTGTTTACATCTTAAAAAATAGATTCAGTGTTTTAACAACCATTTTTTTAATTAGACATGCAAATCTTCGTCAAAACTTTGACTGGTAAAACAATCACATTAGAAGTTGAACCATCGGACACAATTGAAAATGTTAAAGCTAAAATACAAGACAAAGAGGGCATTCCTCCAGATCAACAACGTTTAATCTTCGCTGGTAAACAGTTAGAGGATGGTCGAACATTATCCGATTACAGTGAGTAACTAATATGTTGAAAGAAAGTTCTGTCCAGTCTCTTGCGTACATAATATCTCACACAGTCCTCAAACCTTTTAGACATTCAAAAGGAATCAACACTTCATTTGGTTTTACGTCTTCGTGGTGGTATGCAAATCTTCGTCAAAACTTTAACTGGTAAAACGATTACATTAGAAGTTGAACCATCGGATACAATTGAAAATGTTAAAGCTAAAATACAAGACAAAGAGGGCATTCCTCCAGATCAACAACGTTTAATCTTCGCTGGTAAACAGTTAGAGGATGGTCGAACATTATCCGATTACAGTAAGTTTTTCGTGTGCATGCTGATTATTCGCTTAACCTGACGCAGTTGATATGCCAGTATCAATATTATATTGAATCTTTTAGATATCCAAAAAGAATCAACACTTCATTTGGTTTTACGTCTTCGTGGTGGTATGCAAATCTTCGTCAAAACTTTAACTGGTAAAACAATCACATTAGAAGTTGAACCGTCGGATACAATTGAAAATGTTAAAGCTAAAATACAAGACAAAGAAGGCATTCCTCCAGACCAACAACGTTTAATTTTCGCTGGTAAACAATTGGAAGATGGTCGAACATTATCCGATTATAGTGAGTTATTTAACTCTTGAATAATCTTGTGTACGAATTAATTTACACTATATTTTCGTATATTTTAGACATTCAAAAAGAATCCACACTCCATTTGGTATTGCGATTACGTGGTGGACAATAAAAGGACTGATTACCAGAAATAACAATAAATTATTAATATGTAAACATTTGTCTTTTTTCATTAGTCGTATTTTTGTCTTTGGCTTATTCTTTTCTTAATATCTGTATGAAGTTCCAACAGGTTTTTTTGTACCGAAGTTCTGATTATGGTCATGTTTTATGGTATAATAAAAAGAATTTAATGTGAAAAAATAAATTAGAAAGGCGAGCTTAAACGTTATTGAGAAACGGGAAGGGATTTGAACTAGCAACACTTGTGATAGTTTAAAAAAAGGATCAGCGATTGCCGTTTCAATCGTTGCAGGCAAGCTGTCGTGACAAACACGTCAAATGCACGATGAAATACTTTTGATGCTTCGTGATTGTTAGATAAGTATCTTTGTACATTTCTCTGGTGCAAGAGTAAGAAAATAATTGAGAATGGTTTTCGCGATTCTGTTTATTAGTAAATTGTATGCGCCAAAACTATTCCAGTCTCTTGAGTTTGTTCCATTCGTTTGTTAGAGAATGATTATTCGATGAATTGATACCCACGTTTTATTTCAGTGAAAAATCTTTTGTTCATTGCTCTGTCGTATGAAGACGTCTGTTCTTTTAAAAACTAATTGTCTCTTTTCCATCCAAGCTAAACTAATAATATCCGTGACTAAATAACCTCAATGTTAGCAAACAGTAGCATCACATCCTAGTAAACAATAGCATTGATATTGATCAACGTTTACCTAGACAATTATATTTATCAGAACACGTCGTTATATTCAAAAAAACCGATGAAAGATTAAAACAAGCAGAGACTTAGATTCCAGATACATGCGCACGTGCTGATGAAATAAAGAGATATAATTGTTCATTTAATATTCGTTTGCTGCACGGTCCTGTAAAAACAAATTTACATGAAGAAAAAAATAAAGTTCATGCACAGTCACAGATAATGACTCTGTCAAATGATCCAATGATATTCACAAATAATCAGAATAATATCCAATTCTATCTAGTTGCTTGTTTATACTCTCCTCTAGAAGGTTGCGAATTATCGTCACAGAGATGGGCAACTCCAACTCCGGAGTTCTCTGAGAATCGACGTTATAGAAGAATGATCTGGAAGAAATACACAGAAAAGCCAACGAAATCTTATGTCGACGCACTGGATTATTCTTGCTCACTTATCCACACCGTGTATTGTTATAACCGCTGATATCTCTGTAAAATTAGAAAATACTTCAAATGGCAACATGTAGTTCGTCTGGTTCTCTCAAAATAAGTTCCTGTCGGAGTTGTGGTCGGACTTCTTTAAGTGGAGTTGGAGTTGAGTTCGAGTCGAACTTAGCCGGAGTTGCCCATCTCTGTATCATCATGCATGTTTCAGAGACTTGATGAACTTTTGCTGTCGATATGGTTGGATTACGTAGAGATGAGGTCATTCCTTATTCGTTTTTTTTGTATTCCATTTCACTTCTGCACAGTCTACTTAAAATAAACACTTTTTTCAATCTCATTTTTGTTTTCCTATCGTTCTGCCGTCTTTACTACATTTTACTTGTTAGATTTATGTGTACTTTTCAGACAAAATGTAAATAGATAGTTCATTAATAGTTGTATGTATATATAGATTGTGCTAAAAAGATCTTTCTTTCTATGTACATGCGATACAGCGTTAAATTTCTCTTATATATCTTTTAGTTCTCTTTTTCTTCTTTATTTCATTCGGTCATAATATATCTAAGGTCATATTAACATTCGATCATCTGTAATCTATTTAAATTCTTTCCTTTCTCGTCTGCAGGAGAATCAAATATATTTTTATTTTTTGTTATATTAAATTTGACTACGATTAAGAGTATCTCCTCTTTTTTCCCCTCATTGAAAAAGGTAGAAGGAAAGATCCGATTGACTCCAAATTTATACCAGACATAGAATATTGGAAAAAAAAATATTTTTGCCCAGAATTTTCTGACGTAACTTTCCATGAGTTTTCCGGAATATTCACGTTTTCGTTGGAGTTCATTTACAACGCTATCAAAACTTCATTCTACTGCACTCAAACTTTCCCATGGATGTCTGCGAGGTCGATACCTCAGAACAATGGCTCTGTTTCTTTATTTTATCTCTGAAAAATTTCTGAAGACGTCTCATTATGTGCAGAAAACTTTAGACTATGAAAACAAGTATAAGAAATATTTCTGAAGGCACTGGAAAGGGAAGAAAAATTTAGAAAACTTGAGTTTGTCAGCCTTTCGAGCAAAAGCTTAAAAAACTCATGACTTTCTTCAAAAGGTCATGAAATGTTAGAGGTACGCCGATTGACTGAAATTGGAAAGTATGATCAGTTTATAGTAGATAGATCCATACTAACAAGTTAGGAAAAGACTAGACTTTTTCAATTTAATAACTGATCTCACCATGCACTCCAAGACTTCCAAAATCGCAATGGGTGGAACAACTTCTCACAAAGTGATAAAAAGTTCTTTGCTATTTCTAACTCACCGTTAAACAGAATATCGACTCAATTTAAAAGATCGTGTTTCCTATTCCTGCAGACACTTACTGAATATATGTTTCCAAAGTGGAAAAACGATACCGGCACAGTGTACATCCGGGCAGACATTAAGTAACAATCGGAAAGCGACAGATTCAAACATAAAGAAATATACTTTGATATGTGGGCTATCCATTGCCATAAAAAGTTTGGTTTCAACTAATAAGCATTATTGGAAAACATGTAGCCGAAAGTTAGCATCGAAATTCGGGTCACAAAGCTAAAAGAATTTTCTTTCTACATCCAATAGAGATATGATTAAAAATGGCGTTGATTCTGAATCTAGGCTTTTTGACATATGTAATAACAAAAGAATGTTAGTTTTTGACCGCAGACTAGTGGAAAAATCAGTTTTCCAAAAGATCTAAGTTTCTGTACAGACATATTTCGTAGAATGTTTCCCTTTATTCAAAAATTCTCAAATTTTAGCACATTGTTCCTCTATCTATACTATATTGATACTGCATGCGCAAAAATACGCAATTGTTCCTGTGTCGAGATTTAAGTTTTCTAAAAAATCTTGGCTTTTCATGTGAAATCAGCCTAGGAACGTTTGTGACAAAAACTGATGGTATATTCGGAATCAAGTCATCAAACTGGATCGAATCATGTATCACACGATGAGTTTTGGATCGCACAAATATCTATCGAAATTTTCTCATGAATGAACCTACAAAAATTATTTTTTCTGAAACGTTTATTTTTTTTTAAAAGCATCGCAGATGACTAAAGAATGATAAATTATCTATGAAAAGGCCGGTTTACGACCAACAATTTCTGAGGTCCGCTTGCCCTTAGAAAAATGCACACTGTGATCCGAGTGCTCCCAGTATCATAGACGAATGATGATTGATAAATCCCGAAATTACGTAGTTTCATAGAGAAGAATTCGACAGTTCAAATCCAGTTATTATAACTTAAATTCCATTATTTCTTCGCTCACTGGCAATCCACTTTTTGAAAGATCGGTGTGGTATATCACACTGGTACTTTTTTATCGTTAGTCATAGTCTATACAATCAGGCTTTGGCCACAAAATGTCTTCATTTTTCTTACGATGAAGTACATTGAATACTTAAAGATAACACACAATAGATTTTCTAAAAAGTATTGTAATTTGTAGTAGTTTTCTACTCATTATTCTGTTCATACTCTATCAAGTTATGTCTTATCAATGATCCTCGATTTTCATATTTGTTCCGGTATCATAACACAAAAAGAGCAAGAAAACATAATATTATAAGGTGTCATATAAATATAAAACTTCTTTCTCTTACCAGATAATTGAACCAATATTGAAACACTTGGTAAACGTTGCTCTTGTTGTGAAACGAATACAAACATCCAGAAAGAGTGTAAGTATTAAAACGTGTTCCTTTTCTAAATAAATTTTTTTGTTTCGTCCATAATCGAACTGTATATAACAATAAACGAAGATTTGGCTCTAATACAAGATAAAGTCGAATTAATTCCGTATTACAAACAGCCAGACTAAGGATAGAACACAAGAGATCACAAAAACGTTCTTTATATGAGTAATAAGAAATGTTGTATTTGTATTTACTGATTATTAATCTTTTACCATTTTTCGTTACCATTTTAAACGTCCATTTTTGACTCATATCAATTTTCAGCGTTAGTATTACTATTGATGGGACTACGTATGCTATCATCGCTACTGTATGATTGATCACATGATTGTGATTCAATGTACATATCATTAAGTACAAGAACTAAATGCATATCGGATAAAACCGTTCCTAAACCATTAGCCATTGAGCCGGTTAAATGCAATTTTGAACCTAAAATTAGAAAAACAGTTTCAATTATCCAATAAGCAAAAATAGAAAAAGAATCGCTAAATAATAACCGTGAAAGTGTTTTGAAAATAAATTTTGTAATTTCAAATAAAATTGTTCACGTTTACGAAGGTCAACATCGGTCAATTCTGACTCTTCAAAAGAAATTTTGACTACTTTTTAAATATTTCATTCGCATAACTTTACATTGAAGAAACCGATTTTGTAAAAATATCATTGAATATTTATTTACCTTTTCTTTGTCCATAAAACAATTTTTAATACTTCCAAACTGAGCAAAATAATTTTCTAATTGCTCATCATTATGTTTAATTCTCAATACATAAATACTTGATAGTTGTGAATATTCGTAACGTTGTCTAGCAGCTACGATCGCTTGATGTTTGTTACCTTTATCATGCTCAACCAACACACGTTCTATAACAAAAACAAACAGTAATTAGTTATCAATCTTAAAAGAAAAAATGTGTAATTCACCATCTGGAACAGTAACGGTGCAAATCTCATATTTTAAAACCATTTTAATGTCAAAAGTCATTGTCACTACAAAATTATCTA